TGTGTGTGTGTGTGTGTGTATCTGTGGAGTTAAAAGGTTTTGTGCATTTCAACTGCAACAAGTTGAAGACTATCTTAAAAAGTTGCACACTTCAGTTTCATAATACAAAATCTCGACATTTCACACACTAGCATGCCCATATGGAATTTCCTTACTCCTTTCATTCTACAATCAGTCCATCCACGCATTCATTTTATTCGTCCGTCGCAACGGTAACACACGCTCGCCCGTCCGTCCACACTCAATCTTTCTCAGGCACTTTCCATTGCAGATGCTTGCCACGATCGTACAAATTTTTGAGCGCGCTGGTGAATTTCTTTTCCGCCGTTAATTTCAGGTAATGCTTGTACAGCTGCAATGTGGTGCGCGCATCTTCGACGGAGTCATGAGTTTCCGATTGTATTTTTGTTCCTAAGAAATGAAGAAGGAGAGTTTCGACTCATAATTCTAACACTATTTATTTACCCAAAAAGTGCCAAGCGAGAAATCTTAGCGATACCATGCGATGATGTGGTAGATGGAATAGATGCACAGTATCGATAATTTGCTCCGACGGCACATAAATGTTAATTACTCTGAAAAATTAAATATACAAATTATTTATTTAAATTTGTTTTAAATAACTTCCGATGTGGCAATTAATTTTACAATCTACATACATAGATAATTACATCTTAATGGCTATGAACTTATATTTGGTTACCAAATACTTACACGGCTCAACAAAATTTGGACGAATTTCATCTCGAAATCGGGACTGACCTCTTCTTATAGATTTTTTGATACTAACTTCAAGTCCATTTAAAAAATGTTTCTAGTTCGTCTAGTTTTTGAGAAACAAACCATTACAAACCATCGCAAAATACCCAATTTCAAAAATTAATTTGGAAGTAGTTTTTGCGAAGAAAAAATCGCCTATTAATGAAAGTACAATTCGTCTGATGGATTCCACCTCATGTCAATGACTTGAATAGAAAGGAGTGAGAAAATACAGGAAAAGTAAAAAAAAAGTCAGTTCTTCTGTAGCAGGTATTTGTTTTCAATGTAGTTTAGTTAAAATTTAAAATTGCGCGGATTTCAGTTGAAAGTATTTATTCATTCAATTTTCATTTTACTATACTGTGTATTTTGAGCATACATTAAAAACACTGTACAGCACTCGGCTGGGTATTGGACCAAACCAACTTTTTATAAGAGATTGGGTCATAAGTAAAAAAAATTATTTTCTCCGTTTTTCGAAGTTAGTCTCCAAAATCGAGATATGGGACTTCAAAGTCCGAAATTGGACCTTTGGTAAAAAATAATTTTTAATAATTGCATGTAAAAAGCAAGAAAAGTAAAAATACAGACGTGGTCCGCCTTTTGCTTTATTTATATGGTATATAACTTTTTTTGTGAAACTTAAATAACAGGTGCTATGAGGGGTCAAAGGTCAGATCTTCGAAAAATTAAAAACTTAATATTTCAGTAATTTTTGAACTGATTTTTAAAAGATTCATATCGTTGTAAAGGTGATTTAATCCCCTTTTTGATATGCATATTTTTATACTTCGTATATAAAAATTTGAGAAAAAACATATTTAAAGGACAAAATACCTTTTTTTTTGTATAAAAAAAAATATTTTAAACAGAAAAAATTACTAACCGATTTTTAAAAGATTGGTAACGTCGTAAAGGCGATTAAACCCCCTTTCTTCTGAAATGCATACTTGTATACTTCGTGAATACAAATTTGAGAAAACACACTTAAAAGGAAAAATTAACTTTTTTTTCAAAAAATATTTTAAACAAAAAAAATACTCACCGATTTTAAAAAAATTTACATCGTTGTTAAGGCGATTAAATCCCCTTTTGTTTAATATGCATATTTGTATACTTCGTATATAACAATTTAAAAAAAAAATACATTTTAAGTAAAAAATACCTTTTTTTATAAAAACAAATTTTATATATATGTTTTTTTAAATCAGTTAAAAATTGTTTGAAATGTAAGGAATTTAATTTTTCGAAGACCTGAACTTTGACTCCTTATAGCACCTGTAATATAAGTTTGCACCAAAAAAAATGGTTTGGTCAAATACCCAGAGGAAAAGTTGGTTTTGCACAGTGAAATGAATAAACAATTCATTGACGCGACGTAGAATCCATCAGATGAATTCGCTTTTCATTAAAGGTATCCACACACCTATGCGATTCTGTTGATGCCAATGTGTTCCGACCACAGTTTTAAATGAGGAACCACACACACGATTTTGCTGCGGCGATTTATTCGAACATTCACAGTTCTTCTTTTCGTCGTGGCGAAATCGCAGACGGCCGCATTTTCAGAACGAAAGAGGTCAATAGAAGGATTTTACAATATTAAAACAAAATTTTACGTAAGAAAACAAAACATGTTTGATGTAGAAAAGTTAAGAATCTTATTTTTGTTGAAAAATATTTTTTGTTTATCTATAAATTGTTTTTACTGCGATAAAATCGGAGAGATGTGTGCGTAATTGCGTTGTCGAAGCAGTAACGTCTGTAGCAGTTTCTTCGAGAAAACTACGACCAGGGGCCTTACTATGTATTGCGAATCGAAAAACAATGCGATTCGAAAGCCAGATGCGATCCGAACTGATATTTATACCACGCAACACTTGCGCATTCGCTTTCGCAAATGAGTATGAAAATGTGGCAACAATATGTTCGAAATTTACATAAATGACACTTGAAATGTCAAAAATTTAAAATGAAATAAAATATCGGTAAATTTGTATTTATGAAGCATTATAATACCTTAATATAATATTTTATAAAATGGATTCAGTGGGTTTGTGGTTTGAGGAGGATGAAAATGAAGTGAAAATTCAGCGAAGGTATCTAAGGAATCAATCGGATATCATGAGTCTTAATGACAAAACGTGAGAAAATGTGTGCATGTATTTCTTAAAAATAACGCTAAATTAAGTGTTTTTAACAGATTTGTCCAAAACTTTCGCCTAAATAAAGAGGCCTTCTTATACGTGTTGGATAACATTGACTCGGAGCTAAAAGCGCCTCAGCGCTGTACCGCAATACCATCGGTGCTCAAGGTGGCAGCTTCTTTGAAATTACTGGCTCAAGCATCAAATTGGGCAGGATTTTCAAATAGGGTTCGCACAGCAGACAGTATTAAAATATTTGTGGGAAGTTTGCGGGGCAATTGAAAAAGTTCTATGGCCAAAACACATTGTTTTCGCAATGACGGAGAATGAAAAAAGAGATGCAAAACGACATTTTTTTCGCACATGTAGCATTCCGGGTGTTGTAGCAGCCGTAGATGGCACACATATCCAGATGATTCGTCCGGTTGAAAATGAACATTTGTATTTGAATAGGAAATTGAAACATAGTTTGAATGCTATGGTGGTAGGTACTCTACTAATAGAACTTATGAAAGCATGAATGCATGAAGATGCTATATGCATTTAAACATTTCTTAGCCGTAAATAAACTTTAAACTTAATTTTGCGACATATCTCCTTCATCCATTCATGTCTTCATATGTACGTAAGCATATAAAAATATAATTTTATATGAAACATTTTACAACTTAAGATATGTGACCATAATATGAAGATACGATCGGTGGACGGACGATACGGAGGTGCTTGCCATGACTCCCATATATGGAATATTTCGGGAGAAAGGAGATATTTGAAAAGAAACTTTGAAAATGGAGAAAAAGGAACGTGGATTTTAGGTAAAAATTATATTTGAAATGCATGTAATTTTGCATATACATATATTTACATTATAAAATTTTATTTTTGTTTTTAGGAGACTCGGGCTATCCATTAGAGTCTTGGATTTTAACTCCATATCGAAACGTTGCCGAAAACAGCCATGAAGCAAAATTTAACGAAAATTTTGCGAAAGGGCGGTGCATAATAGAAAGGTGTTTTGGTGTATTTAAAGCAAGATTTAGATGTCTTTTAGCATCTAGAGAGCTCCACTATGCTCCTCCAAAATGTGTGCAAATACTAAATGCATGCTGCGCTTTACATAACATTTGTATTTTGTACAAAATCCCTGCTCCTTCCGATATACCGGTTGAAGAACATTTCTCAACAACTTATATGTATTCTTCAGTGGACATCGATTTACGAAGCGCTGCTGTAAATATCAGAGACGACATCCGAAATAATATGTTTACTCGAGTTACGTTTATTCAATAGAAAACATTTTTATTAGTAATTCATTTATTTTTTCAAGTAAATCGCGTATAGCATAACTGTTTAACACACAAACATTTAATAAAAACTAGTGATAAAAACAATACCTATTTCATTTTGCATTGCAGTAAAACTATTATAAAACAAAACCGTACTTCATTGCACATAACACATGCACACACACTTTGAAAGTGGGTACACAAAAGCGATTACACTTCCTTCTTGCAACTCTCAATGTTTTTCGTGCTATTTTATTATTCTTTATAGTAGCATAGTTAATGTAACAAAAACTATATGTATCTAAATTTAAGACTATGTAAATTTATATTTTAGAAAAAGTTTAAAACTTTAATACGTATAGTTTTTTTAACATAAACTATGGTTATACAAAAAAATAATAAAATATTACGAAAAACATAGTTGAGTTGCAAGAAGGAAGTGTGATCGCTTTATAAGTCACTGTATATTAATTAATTAACATTATTTTTGTAGTACTTTAACCATCTAATTCTCTCCTTTGTAATTTTATTTCTAAAAATTGCTGCTTTAATTTTAGCTGCTTAATCATTAATTTCCTCTTCTCCAAGTCCATTTCCTTTTTGTAATTAAATTTCCCAATTTGTAGTTTTAATTTCTTCTCTTTTAGTTCATTGTTTTTCTTCATGTGCTTTCCCAAGTATTTTAGATCATCGTGAATCTTTCCTAATTCAGAAAGACAATCTCCGTGGAACATCGCTTGGTTTTCAACTTGTTTTCGGAGGAGTGCATCTTTCTCCACAACTTTACTTACCCGCCGTGTTCTTTATACTGGAGTCTGCTGATGGGATGTAGCATTTTCGTTGCTCTCCAAGCATATTTCCATCACATCATCACAGTCTGCAAAATTTTCTCTAAATGCTTCTGAGCTTGTTGAACGTTCAGCATCTTGGCTGGCATAAATACTTCCAAAATTTGACGCGCCTACTGTGCCATCAATTGCCTCCCCCATCGCCATTAATCTCTCCACTTGTTCTTCCAATGGGGTTAGCGAGCAATATTTTGATGGCCCGCCACCCGTGTCGGCTAAACTATTTTTAGTTTTTCGTAGCTTCGACTTTAAATGGTTTTTGTAATCTGCCCACACCTTTAAATATTGGATAAATACTTTAATCTTATTATTTTGGGGAAACAAGTACTTTCTTACCTTTTTCCATCCAGCAACATCGCGTGTTGGGGGCCAGCAGCGTTTAAGTCTTTCACCAAAGTTTTCCACAAGGAGTTACTGGTACTTTTCCCGTTTGCGGTTTTTAAAATGCCTTTTGCCAGCTGAGAATGCTTCTCCATGAAATCTACCATGATTTCAAATTGCCTTTGCTTTGTGTGTGCGTTTTTTGATTTAATTTCCCTAAAATAAGTTGTTTTTTATAAAAAATATACAAAATAAGAAATTTTTACTTACATTTTTCAACCGTTCCGAATGCTAATTTTCTATCGAATGACATTTGCTATTTTCGAATGAATGTTAATATCGTATTCGCATTTCGTAGTAACGTGAAAATGACAATGTTCGAAACGAAATACTATTATAGTATTACGTAGTAGCGTTTCTTCAAATGCGAGTTTTTTTTCTTTCGAATCGCAATACATAGTAAGGCCCCAGATACTTCAACAGTTTATTTTTCTCAAAAACTAGGGGTCTTAGAAAAATTTTGTAAATGAACTTAAAATCAGCCTAAAAAAATATATTAGATGAGATCGGTCCCGATTTCGAGATCAAACTCGTCCAAATTTTGTTGAACCATAATAATATTATTAGGTTTGTTTCGTTGTTGGTAGTATTATACGAAGCTTATGCTTATTATTTTGATTCACTTGAATAGGCTTTGAACACAATGAAAAGACTGGATTTTACCAACAAGAACATACCATTCATTTTAATGCTACTACATAATACTTTTAGTATTGGGTACTATATCCTTAATTCTAATGTATGCAAAAAACTCAAATCCGGAAAACAACTCTACAAAAAATTAAGGACATATCGCTGCTTAAATACCACTTTAATAGCCGGAAAGAAAAACTGCCAATCATCACATAGGTTGTGTGACACACAAACTATATAAAAAATCCAATTCCAAATATTTTCCATTAAGTTTAGGTCCTGTGAATAGGACGAACTCTCACTTTGCTTCGTTATCCTCGTTTTTACAGCTCCTATGGTGCGAATCGGTGCGTAATTTTGTTAACATATGTTAAAAAATGTCCTTAATACTTGTTTTGCATGAATTATTCGCAATTTTGGAAGCCTGAAATATTATTTCAACTGCACGGAACTACGAAATCGCACTTCGGACCGCCATATTCTCTTCGAGGAAACAAACAAGGTTCGTCGTTTCAAAAATCGTGACAATTATTATTAAATTCGTTTTAGCCATCAAAATCAAACTTTTCTTCAGAAAAAAAACGCTATTTTCTAGTTGTCCTTTCAGGCATGCGAGCTGTTCAAAATTCCAGTCATGTATGTCCTTTTTTGACATTTTCTGAACACAAGTGTATTGAGTTCCCTTGTGATATCATCAGCACCAACATTTTTCATTCGTTTTGGTCCAATATCTCGACAATAAGATGCTGACCTCGTAAAGGACTTTTGTTATTTCCATCTGGCTATGGTGCTCTGGCTCCATTTCATGCTTTTTTTATGCGAATCTATAAGCCGGCTTCAGCTGTCACAAACGTTTGCATTTCCTTCAGTTTTATTCCAAACAAATCGCCTGCAAAGTCTTGGATCCGCAAAGCCCTCCATTTATAAATGTTTTGCAGTTGAAAGTGCGCCCGTTTCGCCTATTCTTGCTCTGTTATAGTTCTAATTATCCTTTAAATTCTTAAAAAGGTTTCAATTTCAATAACTTTACTATACACATATGTAAATGAATGATTCAAAATAGTAAGCATAATTTTCGTGTAGTTTGATAAAAAGTGGAATAAAGTCCAAAGTAATCAAGGTGTTTTCTCCATTTTCACTGCTTTTCTTCAAAATTAATAATTCTTCAAAATTAGATCAAAAATAAACTTGTCTGATGCCCACAAGTACAGATATAAGTTTGGATCATGAGATCAAGTGAAGCAGGGTGTATATAAATTATTTGGCGCAAGCAAAAAATAAAGATCTATGTACATATATTTCATTCCTTTGTGTTCCGGCGTGTATAAAACATATGTATGTTTGCTTTTACTTGCGCCAAAAAAATGTTGCATGGTTGAAATCCGCGTAAACAGTTCTATCGATCCACATTTGTGTTTTTTTTAGAGCTAAACATTTTAATTTCTATTATAGCAGCTTTAATAGCCATACAATTGGAATTACTTATCCAGTGAGTAGGGCAATGGAAACTGCTTCAAATATTAAATTCATACTTTGTACAAAGTAACGAATTTCCGCAAAATACATTAGGCGTATTCTCTGAGTCTTGCAAAGCCCTTGCACAATGCACAGATTGCACGGAGTCGGAAAACGTAAATGTCAATATTTATCCAACCTTTAACAACGCTAAAATGCAAAAAAAAATTCCCCGAGACACGTAAGCTTCTTAATTTTGGGTCGTAGATTAATGATCTGAATACCGTTTTTCTAGATCAGGTAATTTTGCAAACATACTTTAATTTTGAGTTTGCATTGCGAATGAAAAAAATTCAAACTGTATCATGGAAAATGTTCCTCATACGCCATGTACGAGAATGTACGAGTACGGCCGTGTACGATGTGGCATATGAGTAATATTATTTCCTGGCTCTATTGCATAAAATTTCATTTAACCATTCAAAAATTGTTTATTTATCCATCGCTTTTCATCGCTAGTTGTTTCAGTTTTTGGCAAATGAACAGGCTTTAATACAAGCGACAAAAGATTTGATAATTTTTTCCTTGTTATAGATTAATTATTTTTACCATAGAAATATTTTGGGCAAATGACCCGATCTAGAAAAACGGTATACAGATCCGTAATATACCACCCAATCTTTAGTTCACTTGTTTCCGCGTTTTTTTTGTTTCATTTCAAAACTTAGGATTTTCCTAACATTGTAATTGAATCATGTGTCTCTCCAGTACCGCTCAATTGTCACCCGCGCGTCGCTGTATACAGCAGCTGCATTGCACTATTCGTCATACTGGTTGTTTCTACATGGTTGGGTGTTCGATTATTCGAATTTTTTCCAAAACCGGTTTTTGAGTTATTCGAAATAAAGTAATTTGAAAAAACGGTTCTTAATTGTTAAATTCAGAAAAACCGGTTAGACCAGATATTTGCGTTAAAATTTTCGCGTTTTGATGACGCTTTCAGTTTATCAGAAATAAAGACGGAAATTGAATAGAACTATTAAAATCGGGGGAAAGACAATTAAATGGAATAAATTCAAAGTTTTTTGAACCACTAGTAAAGCAAAAATTAGATCTAATAAATATTTAGAAGCTTTGGGAACAACTGATTTTTCCGAAGTTGCTAAAAACCTTACAGGTGTTCTTACACGATATGTATTTGCATCTGTAAATGTGACTTTTTCAATACATATGTAATTGTGTATGTCTGTCAAAATCACAGCCTTTATTTAACTATTTAAAAATACGTTCTTTGAAAACGAAATGAACTAAACTTAGATGATTCAATCTGTGTGTCAGATGAAAATAGAAACATTTCTATTTCGTATGTGCATCTGCTTTGTACAGAAACAAATCTAATTTGCCTTTACACGATATGTTGACATTTCTATATGAAAAAAATGCCATTTACACATGCAAATACATATCGTGTAAGAATACCTTAACCTTGCCTTTTTTAAGTATTTTTTAAAACACACATTTTTATTTAAGCACTAGGGCTGATGTAGTAGTCAAAGTTCAAAAGGGGCATATTATATTTCAAAAAACTAATTTTACTTTAATTTTGCTGCCTTTTCTACTATGAGGCGATTTCTTAGAGGCTCGTATATAAGGCCGGCTGCACTGAACAATTGCTCACTTGGAACGCTGGCGGGTGGAGCGCTCAAATATTTGCGGGCCAGATGGGGTTTTCACTGAAACGAGCCTGTTTTTCTTTAAGATAGACCTTCAATTGAGCTTTAATTTCACATTTTTTAATGTCTTTAGATTCTAAATCCGAGCCTTCGCTTTCACTGGAGGAATTTGAAATTATTTCTAGGTTGTTTATAAGACTTTTTTTAGCAGTATGTACTTGTAAAAGGCCCATCAATGTTGCTTGGTATACTACTCTTAACCTTTTAGCACCTGAAGAGCTAAAAGCCGTTTATTGTCCGCACCCTGGTTAGACAGACTTACCGCCCAATTCTGTGTTTTCTTGAAAAATTATTTGTAAAGAAATTTTATCAAGTAAAAGCTCCCATCTCATTCTGTGTCAAGATTTATAAAATAAAAGAGGGGAATTAATTTCATTGTCACATATGAAAAATATGAATTTAAAAACAAAAAAGCTTTTGACTGCCGTAGCCGAGTAGATAGAGACGTCGGCTATAAATTTTGTGTATCCCAGGTTCAAATGCTGGCACATGCAGTATATAAATGATAGAAACAAATTTTTTAATATACAAAATTTATAAGTTTTGTATGAAATTTCAATTTGTAAACGCTTGTCCATGACATTTTTCATCTTGATTATTTCTGTGTTCGTATGGAATAGTAGCTTATGTCAAGAAGCTAGCTTTAGTATAATGCGGCATTCCCTTTAACCTTTAAACGACAAGGAATTTGTTGATGATACTTAATAAGAATATTGAATTGCTAGTAGCGGAATAATTTTTTGCACGTTTATTTGCTGAAAATTCTTCAACAGCTCAGCGCCAGTGAGACATTCGCAATCGTATGCTGCGAATGCCGATTTATACTAAAGCCAGCCTTTCGACATAAGCTACTTTTCCATACGAACACAGATTTATTTAAGAGCTTTTGATTTCTGTGCCAATTCTTGAAAAATAATAAAAAATTTACAAATTATAAACATTATGTATTTATCAAGTGCACAGAATCGGGCTGTTAGAGCCATTTCAACAATATTAGAGTGGACTCTCTGCACATGTACACATTCGCATTCGCAAAACAGTCGCATCATTTGATGCGAATGAGTAAAATTATGCGAATAATTCGCATAACGAATGCGAATGCAGATATTCGCAACATCCCTGGTATATACATACAAATTTATTGATGTTCGAAAAGCATCAAAACTTTGGCAACTGCAAATTTCGCAAAATTCGAAAAAAACAGCCAATCTGCAAAACCGATGAGTATATCTGGATTCAGGGATATAAATATGCCCTAGAAATATGAATGCCGTTCTTGTTTTTTTATAAACCAGAGTATACAAAGATTTTCTATTCGCACAACCAATTTACAAATGAGTACCCACCTGTAGTTCCTGATACTAGAAATTTCTGTCTAATTATGTTTAAAAATAAAACGCATGGATACTTTATATTAATACGTTTAGGAATACGGCCCGAACAACTAAAAACTTAAGGTTTCGAGATTTATGAATTTAGTGGCAAAATAAAAACTACAGGTCAAGCGGGCAATATAAATAATATTAAAGTGTAGTGTAAATGCAAATATTATTTGTAAGCAAAAAAAGTTTCACCACACCTGAAATCATTTTTCAATCCATGTCCAAGAAAAATAACACCAACATCCACTAAATACTTCAACTTTTGATATGAATTTTTGAGCGCTGTCAGTCGTTTACTGCTAAAGTTCGCGTCCAAATCACCCGGTTTTATCCCCGAAAATTGTGTTAGGTAATCGACGACCTTCTCCTGCGTTGATATGTAATCGTCCATGAAAGGTACACCTTCATCAGGACCTTGACTGGAGGCAACATAAAGCATATTTGAATAAGTAAACAAATGCCAAGATGTGTGCCATATGAACTTAAGGAACAGATTTTCAATTATCAATCAACTAAAAAAGCAACTCAATTAAGCAAATTAACACCATTAATAATAATAATAAAAATTAGGGAATTAAAGTTTGTAAGCAATGCTTGAAGCTGCTGCTCGAATTACAGCATAGTTGGTGTGTATTCGGTTTCGATTTTGATCGATTAAAGCTTCCAGCATCACTTTTAATTTCAACACGCCCACACACACCAACTACCAGCAACTTCGCATTCGGTTTGTTGTACATATATGGGTATCTTGAGACGACAGCGCTGTTTATCCGCTTACCCGCGTATGCATGAAATACGCGCCACACTCATGTGACATGGTTTTATGGTTGCTGTTTTGCCATCCGGACGTATTTCGTTCTCTTCGGGATTCAATGTGACAAATTCAGCATCCATAGCGACCAAATCACCTGCCTGTGGCATTTCATTCGTTTGCAATGGCTTAAATAATACATCGCCCATGCTGTTTGGCGCTGGCGCTAGCTGTACAGGATTTGTTATATCCTGCAATAAGGGTAAGGTAATGATAAATAAATTAAATTTATTTTAGCATTTCTAACCAAAAACACCAAGAACGAAAGAAACGAATGTCGTCATTTGTTCGATTTTTTTTTATAAAGTAAAGAAAGAAAGAAAGCAAAAGATACTTAGTTTACTTGTATGAATGGGTTATGATGGGCAAATTCCGTTTCTGTGCTGATGCTTTGTATATCACTTTTCGCAGCTGCTGTAACTGTAGCTGTAGCTGTGGTTATAGCAGGCGTGATAGATGGAACTGGCGCATCCGTACTTATGCTGCTGTAGAAAAGTACACAAGGCACTTTCCAATCGAGGGTAAACCAAACAGATTCTTGTATTGAAACTGGTGAGACGCTGGAAATTAAATTGCAAGTAATGCGGTAATTAAAAAGGGTATATATTGTTTACGTTAAACTTAGAGGACATTTACTTGCCTGAAATCATTAAAAATATACCATTGTTGTTGCTCTTCACCACTGTTGCCGCCAGCCGCCATTTTCAATGTATGATATTTTTTACTTACGTTAATCAGCGAAACCAAATTCTTTTGGGTGCCATCGTCGATTTGGCAGACCACTGCATGCAATCCATATTCACGAAATGAATCGTTGTTGGAAGCTACCGAAAGGAAGAAGTTAGAAACTTAGAATAATATTTTAAATATAGATATGAATTAATTTTCCGTAAAACATATTTGCTGTCGTCAGGGCAAAATTTTTCTTGACATTGAAATTGTAATGCACCTTTTTGTTTTTGTGAAGCTCAACTAATGGTAGGCCCAGGAAACGTGTTGTTTCAACGAGGTTGTACCAAAGTGAGACGGAGTTAGCTGGCATACATAATACGACCAACTTTTATACAGCTCAAAGAGATACAGAAACTGAAAACCGAACACAGTATGAAAGTAATGAGAAAATCGTAAAAGCAGAATATGCGAAAACGGTAACAGTGTACCAATTCAACAAATAAATTTTAATTTGATATTTTAAAATATTAATATTTTCTAAACTGCGTAACCGATTTAAAAGCTAATGATGTCAAAATAAAGACAATTCAAGTTGATATGTAAAAATAAATACAATTTAAAGAGAATTTCATAACTGTTACGTCTACAATTCGCAAATAATATGAGACCAATCAATAAATATGATGGAACTTCGGTAAATTTTAGTATTCTTCCTTCCACTCTCAGAAATACATGGTTATAATAGTTCTGTTCGCTATGCAAAAGCCAGTAAGAATTAGCGAGTAGCAAAATTCAAAGAATAAGGTATCTTACTCTCCCAAAGAGTGAAACTTACTAAGTTTTGCGCTAACAGGAGGGCTGAATTTCAAACGTCAATTGCTTTGCATACCTACAAAGTATAATGTTCCATAACGCCGAACTACAAAATATTGACAATGTATACTTTTCCAAAACGCATCCGAAAATTTATCGAAACGCATCGCTAGAGCAATCAGCGCTTCAGAAACAAAGTTGATGCTTCGTTTGTTATTTGTTGCCACTGGTGTTTTAAAAATGGAAAATTCAGAAAAAATATTAATTGCTATATTAAAATATGCAATGTATATGGTTGCAAGGTGTCGCAACTCTGCATATACAAACAGTTCGAATAACACAGTATAAAATTATACTGCATATACAAACAGTTCGAATAACACAGTATAAAATTATCCAAACATTGTATTGATACGGTTTGGAAGTCAGCCGAATTATCAAACTTTTGCTAGCTTCACTGCCAGCTGGCGTCCACGGTTGCATTACGAACATAATAAATTTTTTAATTTATTTCACAACAACAACAAAACAGGACCTATACGTATATTTCCTCTTATTCTGTCTTTCTTCAACATACGCTTTAATCTCTTTGTGGAAGTCACTGTCGGATTACCTATATCGACAGTGGTGTCGACTTCGTTCAGATTACGAATATAGTTTTTTCAGCCGAGTACCTTTCAAATGTTTGGAATTATTAAATTAATTGAATAAACAAATATTTACATACTTCTTTCATTAGTAAATCGCAACAGCATTGTTAATTTTTAAATTTAACGAACTTGTTGATTCAAATTATTGTTGACGAATATGCATCCGTGTGCCACCAACCTGCTTCCCCTTCCCCCCAAATGAAATGTCAAAATTGTGCTCTCTCCTTGCAAGTTTTACTGGTTTTTTGGCCAAACGAACACGATTTGGTAAGAAACTGGTAGCAACTTGTATAAGTTGTTTGCATAGCAAACACTCATAATAAAAATTGGAAACATAAAGTGGAGCAAATTCTACAATTTTCGGTGTAACTTTCCCATTGTTCAAAAAATTCGTTTTTCGAATGGATGCTGCAATATCCAGAGCGAAGTTGGGCGAAGTGCGACTCTCCAGAGGAAGGTGGTTGTGTTCCAAAACAACCTCCACAGGTCGGGAGACGATGCAAGTCGAGACTGACTCCCTGAGACCCCGGCGATCACGCGGTACTGTATTTACAATTGCAGTTATATGCGCCGAGAAGGAGAGCAGTACTGTCGACAGTAAATCCGAGATTTTTTGGGTTACTCACCGTCGGAATTGGGTCGCCATCGACATGAATTGCTACCTGTAGTCTGGCTGCCTTCGTCTAGGTGGTAAATAGGGTTGCCGAGGACTTCGTAGGGGAAAGGGTTAAGCTCCTTGCAGTGAGGGAGCGTGAAATTTCGCAGAGATAACTGTTTACTTTCGAGCACAAGTCATCAATTGCATTCTGAGACGCTATTATCAAGCAGTCGTCAGCATAGACAATTGAAACTCCCTCTGGTGTGTGATGGACTTTGATATGTAATAATTAAACAGCAGCTTGGAAAGGACACCACCCTGTGGAACCCCCTATTGAATTTTCTTCCGTTTACTGGTTTTGTCTCTGAAAATTACTGCCGAATGGCGACCACTCAGATAATTCGCTGACCCAAGTTTGAGTCCCTGTGAGAGTCTGAAGTGGATGACGGTGTCAAACACACAAATGACAAATCCATCGCTGTTAGGACTGTTCTCTCACAGAACGGTTTCGGTTGTGTAGACGGTTGTCTAGGTGTTTATGGTGGTAAGTGCTATTGTTGTGCTGTGCACTATACGAAACCCATACTGATGCCTGGTTGGGGTCAGGTGGTTCATATAGTATGGGAGTAGCAAGGCATAGTGCCTTCGCTACCGGGGAAAGGAGGATTGTAGGTCGATAAGACTCTCTTTTGTTAGCCCCGATTTGCCGGGTTTAAGCAGGGGGACCACTCTCCCTGTTTTACAGATATCTGGAACGATGAGAGTGGCCTTGGAAAAATAAGGGATCTTGAAGAGATAGTCTACTTTTTTTGGCTTTGGCCTTCCCAATGGAACCTGAACTGTCGGCTAAAGTAGCTCGCGCAGCGCTCCGGGTCTGACGAAGCACGGTCTCCGAGAGAGATTTCCACTATGTCGTCGCGCTTCGTCGGGTTCTTCTCAGTTCTTATGTACGTTCACAAGTTGCCGAATCTCCGCGTTGAGATCCCTAATACGGGGATTTCCGGGATCGGCCTGACGATGGCTGTCGCGCTCATCGGTTAGGGCAGCCGTTTCAGATGGAAAGTTCGGGTGTCTGAAATACATCCAGCTGATGAAGCCGGCTGCAACAGCAGTGAAACCCGTGCAGAAATTACGTTCGCAAACATGCACGTCGGTTGGCGTGTTGAATTTTGCTGAAATGTATACATTTATCCACCAAAGTCGTTTGATAAAGTGATGAACTTTGGTTAAATAGATTTCCATACAAAGTTTATAACTTCTCAAGTTTATCAAGAGTTTATCACTTTTGATGAAGACCCCTAACGGCCGGGTCCACATAACCGAAACGACCCAGATTTATATTTGGCCAAGGATTGTCACTCCAACAACACTCCCCAAAACCCTTTGAGGTCCTTGTATGTTGCTACAACAACAACAACCCCTAATATGTTAGTGTTTGGCCGAGCTTCTCCTCCGATTTGTTGCGTGGGCATTGATGTTGTGCCAGAAAGGGCGTCCCTACTGTTTTACGCCAACTATCGACAGATACTTTTCTGTAAGTAACCAATTCGGTGTCTGTCGTAGAAACAACGGTCAACATTAGCCTATTTTGGGGTCAATTTTGAGCCCTTAAAGTGCTTTAGCAACTTATGATTTGCAGATATAACTTTAATTTTCGGGATAAAGGTTCTATGGAGCAGTAGAAATATTGTCGTGTACAAATTTTATATAAATTCAACCAATATTGAGCATTTTAAGGCAAAAAAAATTTTGAAAAAATTTGCAAATTTTTTTTTATTGCCAAAATGCTCGAAAACCGCTCGAATGATTTTATTTTTGTTTTCTTTAGTCAAAAATGCAGGTCTTTTCCTTCGTTTGGTATATAGGAAGTATTGGTTGATTCGAAGTATGTTTATTTTATTTAAATATATGGGGATAAAAGATTTTCCATACAAAATCACTTCGTCATCACTCTGCAAACACGTGCATGCGTAATAGGTTAAATAAATTATTTCAATGTGTATGTAAATCAAAATTGCTTTGAAGAAACTTTATTTCCAAACTGCATGTAGGAGGGTTGCCACCTGATTTTATAATTCAATTCAATTTCAATTAAGAGTATTAGATAATTAAATATGTATCACAATACAAGTGTCAGACGAAAAAGGTTTAACAAGGTTTTGGTTTAAAAATAATTTGAACGGGATTGCCACAAGTTTGAAAAGTCGAATTAATTTAAGTTATATGAAATGTTGAAATATTGGCGTCAAACAAAGGAGTATGAAGAAAATTTAGTTTCACCATCTATAACATTAAAGTGGGTTTACACCTATGTAAAAATTATCAAATTATTAAAATTATTTAATAATTTAAATTAGTTATTAAAGTATGGGTATAAATTTACATGGGTGAAAAATGGTTTTTTCTTAACTTTATTTAACAGAGTCGCCATATGATTTAGAAATTAAATTAAACTTGAACTAAGGGAAATAGATATACAATTTAAATATGTTTCGCAATATGACTGTCAGTCGAAAAAGGCTAAACAAGGTTTTGTTTTTAAAATATTTGATTAGGGTTGCCATCTATTTTAAAATTGAAATTTAATAGAAGTATGCATAAGTTAAATGAAATATTAAAACATGAAGTGAAACGTGAATATAAATAATAATAATAAGAGAGGTGCCACCTGTTTAAAAAGCTAAACTTAAATTATTTACTAAGTTAAAGCACTTATTAAAAATATGGGTATCAAATGAAATGGGTTTAAAAAGGTTTTATTTCTGAACTGTATTAAGGAGCGTTGTCGCTTATTTAAAAAAGCAAATTTAACTTAATTCATCAGGCACATGAAATATCACAATATCAGACGCAAGAGATTTGTTTATTTTTGAACTATATTTAGGAGGATTTCCAGCTGATTCAGAGGTCTTAGCTAATTAATGCAGAAATCCGAAGATAGGGAAGACGAGCCCGAACACCAAGGACATTACTAAGACGGGGACCTAGGCTAATACAAAAAGTAATATATATTTCAGCAGTATGAAAGGAAATAAAAACAATCGTAATAGTGAACCACGTCATCGCATACATATATCCATTTATA